ATTGCCGCCCAACTCTACCAGTCACTATCATGGTATGGGCGAAATTCTATAAATTCAAAGATTGTACTGGAATCACCCCTTATTCACGCACCGGGATTCAAGGAATCACTTTACCGGTGTGAGCCTGAAGTTCTTGTCGTTAATTATTCTCGTTTTGGCATGCGCCACGCGTTTGATTTGCATTCAAAATCGTAGTGGCGTTTTGAATGGGAATGTGACCAATACAATGACTTGCTGTGGCTAGGATATGTATAAGACGGTGCGTTTATCCTCCCACACGAGTCAGGCTTCAAGTGAGCGACCCCGGAGGGATTGAAGACGGTTGGTTGGCTTAGGCAGATACGATCCAGGACTCGATCCCCGGACCGTGCGCGTGTGATAGTGCACCACTTGCCACACCAGCCTACTCTAGTAGAGTTATCCTTGATATGGAAAAATCGTAGAGAATCCCGAAATAGGTCGATAACTTTCTCCTCAGCCCGAACCACATTTTTGACGTTGCACTTCTTCGGGAATGTTGTACAATTCGATGCTCCGATAAGAATTTTCAAGGGTTTGTCATCATGCCATGATCTATGACTTCTTTTAAACCAGTTGTCGGAAACGTTCAGATCTTCAAAAAGATTGCGAAGAGGGGCTCTCAATAAAATCAAGTGGTCATCCAAATGCAGAATGTAAACACTTCCTGTGACGAAATGAATACATTTCGATATGAATCTACTTTCACCCATCTAACAGAGAATTTCCCTTTTCCAAGTTGCTTAGTGCTTAGTAGAAGCGTTACAATATCACCGGGTCTCTATCACCCTTGAAAGTCCACTTTTTCCAGTTCAGAACAAGTGTAAAATCGACGTCTTTCGGCACGGGACAGTCTTGTTCTGGGATGTTCCCCTTATGCGAATTACATTCAGAATGGCGAAGGCGTGAGCTATACAGTCACTCGGGGGACGGGAACGATTAGGAACGATTTTGGGTAATCGATTCGCCGCACGCGGCTGTCGCAGACCACTTATTCGCCCTTATTACAGCTCTAGCACTCTTCATACAGCTCAGTCGATATGCGATCATTATTTTATGCATAATTCTACTATTAGTACTTTTGTTCTTGTATTTCTTACCTACTGCTGCATCCTGCTACATTCCTTCGCGCGCCACGCCCCTCTCACCGCGACGCGATCATTTCGTTCCTTACGCACCACACCCCAGTCACTGCGCATAAATCCAGCGCTCTTTCTCCGACACACGACATGGTACCAAATAACCGACCCCGAGGAGACGCAAAGATTATAATAGAGATAAATTTTAAATTTACTACGCCTCAATACAATTTTTCATTCTGAGGAGCATTAATATAACATTCCCAATCAAAAATGTACCATAAGAGTCTTCATTGAGAACTTGGTAATGAATTAATCGGAAAAGGGTGGAAAGGTCTGATCTAACGCATGCTCAGAGAGGGCCAAACTGAACGAATACAGATTTAACCCAAGCCTTAGGAGTGTGAGAGTATCCGGGTGGGCTAGATGTCTACCTAGAGCGTCCCCGAGTCTCATTATGGGCTCGCGAGGAGCATCACAAAAGTTCCATAACCCAGGGTGCCTACCAGAAGCTCCATCATGCGTGCTAATTCAGAAATAAGCCTCTTCTTCTGTCACCGCTTTAGGTGCCTACTTCTTACAGCTTCTCTTTGTAATTTGAAAAGGACATCTGTCAAGGATCGTGAATTGGGACTTAACAGATTCTAAAAAGGTGACTTTACTAGAACATAAGCATATCAAGTCGGTATTTTAGTAATTTTGGAGGCTCATTTAAATGAACACATACATATAAGACGCAAAAGAAAGCTATGATCACGCCGAAGTTAACCGAGAATTACTTATGGACTGACAAGTAAGTAATAACTTGAATTACTAACCCAATACGTGACTGTAACTTCCGCAACATATCTGTCAACTTTTCCGTCGTCGAGTTAGCAAGTCGATGTGATGGATCGCAGACCAGTGTCGTATTACCGTAATCGGCATCGTTTTTGCATGTCTCGTACTCATCCCAATAGATTGATCCAAAAACCTGAAAGGAAGGTGAAGATGTCTCTGGGATTGGTCCATGAGGAATATAATAGAGAAAATAGACGAAGAAAAGGTAGAAAATCTATTTTTAGGGAAAGTATCTTAGACTGTGTTCATACTCGGCCGAACAGAAGTAATACTTCTGCTGATTTCGGTTAATACTCGGGCGAAGAGTTAACCAAGAGTTATAGAAAAATCGAGGGCTCAAAGTTAAAGAACGCAGACTGGAAAGAGGCTAGGAAGGATGTGGATGGGTAGAGCCAGCAGCAAAAGCCGAGGGTGATGCTCAGAACGAAGGATGATCCCAAAGCCGACTTTCGAACCTCACAGCGAGTGCAGATCTAACTGAATGACTTCGTTTCTCCGAGAATATCGACAGTTGTTTTGCTCCTACCCTTTCATGTATGGAATTGGATGAACAGAGCTCAAATATGATCAAGGGCAGTTTATCCATGCGGAGTTCGTGCACAACGATTCCCAAAAACACTCGAAGGAGATTATGACGAATCACTGCTTTTAACCACCCAATTTCATTACACAATCCATCAGACTCCATTGATCTGAATGGCTGAACATATTTAAAAATTTGTTGGAAGCGATCGGAACTTTTCAAGCACCCTAGGTACGTAGGTGATTTATTTACAGACTTTAGGGGAAAATCGACGACCAATTACCGACTGTGGTTCCAACTTATGTAAAAGCGTTCCAGTAAATCGTCTTGAGAGGGTGTTTACGTAATTCAAACGAAAGGTGTGTAACCGATCGCTCTTCAAGCGCACAGACACCGTAAAAAGGTAGTAAAGAGTTAATTTTTTGGTATGGGTCATAAAATGGAGCAAACAAGGTAGCAATGAGGTATGCCTGTATCACTATTGCATTGGTCGGGTCCAAGAAGAACACTTGGTCAAAGGCAGAGTTCACGTTAAGAATGGTTCCTGTGACCTCTTCCAAAGATAGATATGTGCTCACCCGTCACACCTCCTCGCCACCCTTCGGAAACGGCGCGGATAGAGTGCTTTCAGGGATCATATGTTGCATTGACTGCACGCCACACCCAAAGGCGGACGAGTTCAACGGACATGTAGATGGTGCGCCATTCACAAGGAACATCCATGTTGGAAATTCAAAAAAAAAAACCAGATGTGGCAGATGACTACAGTAGAGAGCAGTTTTGTACATTCTTGGCTTGGTGTAGTCACTTCTTCACGCAAACCCAACAATTGAAATCTCGTCCAAACACCCTTTTTATGCTGTTTTCGCCATAATGACCCCGAACAACTCTATTTTCACTAACTTGAGGGACCTTTTTTCGAGAAATCGCGGAAATTCTCGCCCTTCGCCTTCGATACGCTATTCTCATCAACACTTTCCCTCTTCAACTTACATAACAAGGGTAACTCAAACTCATCGAGAACTGTGACTCCATCGAAGCTGTCTCGAAAATTGTCTGGCCTTAGGAGATTATCGATCCCTTTTAGTTTTCAACTTTCAGGCTTGAAGAAGTCGGATCTAGCAATCTATTATTCATTCTTTCTTGGGATGGCTCAAACGAAATCTACCTCCATTAAAAGCCACCGTGCCAATCGTATTCAGACCAAACGTTATCTTTCCCTTTCGACTTCTGCTTTTGACACTAAGTGGTTTAACCCGGATGTTGCTCAAGTATTAATCTTGTTCGGTAGCTGTCACCCACTCAACGACGTAAAGGGTCTGTTTGCCATTAATAAGATTCGATCTGAGGTTGATTTCTGTATTCTGCGTGTGTGTGGTACCTAGTGCCATCTGTCATTACTCCCCCCACATTTGTCTTCAGTAAATTCTAACAGCCCCGAAGATTTGCTCAACTGCTCATGAATTGCATGGCGCCCCAGAAAATGACAGTGACATCTGTGCAAAGGAAATAGCGAAGAATCCTATTAGTGCGGTAAAAAGGAGATCATCCGATAAATTCTCGATGACGCACAACATTGCTGTGTAAATTCCTGGTTACTACGGCTGCTATCGGAACGCAATACATCGCAACAGAGCAGAGGCGGAATGTGAAAAATGACTGCGCCACAGCCGGTTTCCAAAAAATTCAAATGCCCCAAAAAAGATGGATCGCTCTTTGGATCAGCGAACTTTTTATACAATATTTTCTTAACGACTTACTCAGTCCCTAACCACGTTTACTTTGCAACTTTCAGCTTTAGGAGTTCTAATCCCATCATACCGTAAGCCACTGATCTGACTCTTGGAGCTGCAAAAATAAGTTTCCGGTTCCAATGCAGAGTCGAAGGAAGTAATAGTTGCAGAAATTTGCAGCTGGATCGAACTCCTGAGGAATCAGGCCCTGTTACGTGAAAACATGGAAAATTAGTTGCATCTGACGAGATCCAAGAAAAAAAAACTGAGTTGGGACTTTGAATAATATTTTTCAGGCGGCCTTCTACGACATTTGCATGATTGGCAGTCCAGTATTACTTGCGGTCCAGTTCAGGCCATAATTTTTCAGCAGCAAAGGTTGGCCAGATTCTAAATCCCTCCTGCGCATCAATCCTTTTCCTTCAGAAGCAGGGTTTTCAAAAAATTGAATAGAAAAATAACTCAACAAGTTTATCTGACTAGATCTGTTTTGTCCTCAGGACATGAACTTTCTTTTCTTTTCATTGGTTCACTTTTCTTCCTTTATTACTTGGTGTGCTATCTTGCATGCCTACAGATAAACAAATAAATAAGCAAGCAAGCGAATAAGTAAATGTTTCCTATTGCATTGGCCCTCTTATTTCATCTTAGATACATATTTGGCGTGTTCAATGCTACCAGGCGGTACTTGGGTAGGTGTCCTTCTCTATGTGGAAGGCTTCAGCCCTTCGTCCATCGAATGAAAGAGAGCTTAGTGACAGTTAGTGTACCCTACTGGTCCAAGCGACTGTAACGCGATGCTCTCATTGCTCCCATCTTCTTCATTTGAGAACTTCAATACATAAACTGTGTTGTTCGATCGTGAACCAAACAATGTTCTCCTATTATGTGACCTCGGGTATATGGAGTGGTGCTCCTCTCAATGATCTTTGATTCTTCTACGACTCAAGGATCTATGATTCACCTACCGGTTCCCTTCCAAGAGCACCTTACCTGGGCCACTGGCACAGTATACATTAAGGAATGCTACTACCGGAAATCAATATCCATATCTAAAGGTAGGTCCTTACAGGTAGTTGGGTCTCCGAGATCTTAAAGTCACGTCCTCAAGGAAGTACCATTTTTGGTAGGAAGTCCTTGTGTGGGAAAATACACTTTCCTCCTTCAGCTCATTGAAGCCAATCAAGATTAGGGCTTTTTTCGATCCAGACATCAAATGCGCGGCTCATCCCGGACGCCTAATTAAACCCCCTGTTCCTTTTCAATGGAGAATTCGAGTGCTGCGGTATGTTACGCTTCCCTCCTCAATTACATTTCTATAAAAAACCAACGCTCTACTGGTAACACCATCGAAAACGTTCGTTTCTAATCAAGCCGCTCAATGAACAACTGTGTGGGGGTGACGACGGCATCCACTCGACGCTGTCGCTTTATGATTCTCACTGGCTGCCACTAAACTGGTTTCATTACCTCCGTAAATACTGTAAACTGGTGAAATGATGAAAAGCGAAGGTTACGAGCCAATTAAGAGCGTCTTCCCAGAGCACCTCTTCACCTTAAGGTCATCGAATCGGTTTTGCAATTCAATCGGCGCTCGGCAACAGAAACGAAGCGATCGTAAAACCATGCGTATGACACCTAATTTCGACAGGATTTTACAATGTCCCAGCGCTTTTCGCTCCGCTATTCACCCAGGAGGCCTCGCCATCCACGATGGATCATCTGAGACTGTTCTGAACGGAAAATGACTTCTTTGGAATTGGCTTATTTTAGTCGAAAATGTTTGACGTCGGTTTTTTGAACGTCAACAACGTGATCCGGTGGAACGACAATGAGCCATACCTTGGCACATTGCCTGTACACGGCCAGAACCGGCTTCGTTGATTATCAATCATCCATAGGCGATCGCTATCACTACAGGGACAAAAAACCCGTTTCCTATGTCATTTCTTCCTATCCGAAGGAAATTCCATACATTGACACGGAAGCAGAAAACAAATTCGATTTTCCACAAGTATCACACAATAAATAAAAGAGCAGCGCCTGAGGGATGCGCCCTGCATTCGACTTCCTTTCAGAACCGCAGTGGTAGTTCGATCGGGTATGTCGCCTTTACAATGATTTGTGGTGGCCCTCTGACGTACAGCTAGGTGCTTCTATCCTGCCAAACGAGTCTGATATCATTCAACCGGTCCTGGAAGGGTAGAGGACTTGGTTGGTCGAGTGAGTTCCGAGCGGGGATTCGAACCATGGACCACGAGTGTGTGATAGTAGGCTACTTTACACTACCTCCACACACTATATGTATATGTACAGTATTATGTTATACTCTTGTATAATAGATGGAAGTGAAACTGCCCATACAGGGTATACGGATGATAACGACGAAGCAAATGAGATATCAGAGTTGAGCTGGAGCGCTATTACTTCCCATACCCGGGTTTAAACTGGAAGAGTGAGAGCTTCGTTTGAACAGGGATTCAGATGAAACCTTATTGAAGGCTCTCCAACTGGGGCTCGTTAGTACTGACAGATGGCTTCGAAGCATAAGGTCCAGACCGTCGGAAAAGAGTCTTTCGCTCGAGATTGCCCGTTTCCGAGCGGTTGGGAATACGCGTGACACTGCTAATGCATGGCTCATTCTAATACAGGTAACAAACCAAGTCCCGATACCAGGTTTGATATCGACCTTACACGTATAGTGCTTCGAAATACTTGGGACAAAAACAGTCTCATAGAATAACGCCAATGCCCATTGAATGATCAAGTTTTTGAGATTGTTCTCATTTCTTCGATGGTTCGAGAAAGGGAAAGTTTCTAGTAGTTTTCGGTGGTTTCCCTCGATTGTCTGTGATACTTCAAAACATTGAAGTAATTGACAAGATGTCGTGGTATGCGATGAATACGGCAATGGCACTCGACAACGGTGACCACTGTACATACTTGAACGATTGAGTAAACCAGTTTTTCACATAAACGGGCTGTGGAACGAGGCCACACAGCTGAAGAGCTGCATCGATGTGGTTAAGCCCGATAAGTAGGTGGGAAAATTAACAGCGCAAAAGGGTGCTTCCGACTGTCAAGAGGGTATGTACTGGTTTCCTTATCCGGCTATTCCGATCAACCCAATCCTGGGTCCTCGTTTTGAGACTGTCACTTATAGGACAAGAGCTACAGGGTCAAGTTTTCATTCACAAGGACGCCTCATAAGTATCCCTGCTCCCTGCTAGGATCAAGGCTCCCAAGAATCTCCAGGAAATTTTTATCCGATGTGACGACATTCCCTAGTTGTAGTCAAGATCATTTCAAACCCACTGCGGATTCTCAATTGTCTTTTCTCATTGAGCCAGGAAATGATAGAAAATGATAGTCCGGAAATGATAAGAAATGATCATGATTCTGACGGTAGCTTTAAAAGAAAGTAAAATTTGCCAAACTAATTAATAAGGTTCCCTTTTCCTATTTTCCCACTTCAAGAGGCCGTGATAGCCTTATTACTGGCTAGCTGCTGATTAAAGCTTTTTTACTAACTACTTCGGATGGTAGTGGTACGGCGGCAAAAGGCGCACTATTACACGGATGGTGTGGGGATCGAGTCTCTAATGGTTATTACCTTAGGACAAGCATGCTACTACACTGACCGACCTTCACAGGGTGGCTAAAGAGTTTTCTCGAAAAACAAAAGAAATAAAATTTTTAATAGGTATCGTGTGTAATAAAAAGAAATTGGTGTTTCCATCAAAAACTCAAACCCCCACGAACGGCAACTAATAAAAGCACATTCAGAGCCCACTTAACTTCAATTGCGTTTTCGAGTTTTTGGACGTTGGCGACTAACTTAAGTGAGTCGTTAAAGTGAATCATCTCTCAGAATGAAAAAGAGACCAAATGTCTGGCAATTTCATAAAATCCTTCGGAAAAGATAACACAATCAAAAAATGGTTCAACCAAATCAAAGAACTCCCGTTCTGAACTATGACCCAACCTTGTACATTGCTATTCAAAAGAAAAATTTCAGGTTACTTCTCGCAGGACATTCTTCATCTTCACGATTTTGCGTCTGAAAGGAAACCAGATAAAAACGGAGAGACAGTGGGACAGTGGGTTTCTTTTGGGAAGGAATCTCACCAAAATGGTTACTACTCAGACTCTTGCACAATAAATGTCTATCAATCAATCAGTCGATCAAAAAAGGGCGAAGCCTTTAGGTATTGATCGATCCAATTTATGGAATGCGCCGTGCTCAATTCAAGTTCCAATCAAATAGTAGTGGCATTTGAGGCTTATGTAACCTATACAATGATCTGCGGTGGCTAGCCGATCGACAGATTAGCGCTCTTATCCTTTCGTATGGGTCTGTTACGTGGTGGCTCATCATGAAGGATTGAAAGGTATGATTGGCATGGAGTAGTATCGAACTGAAACTTGATTCCATCTAGATGATAATATGTCTTCTGACGCTATACAATTGCTGTCCCAACTAGTCATAGAGTAATGTAAGATATCTAGTCATCAGCTATCCTGAGTTAACGTAGCGATTGTAGAAATCCAGAGCCAGAGGGGTAGAAATGTCTATATTCCTCGTTCCCTGATCTAATATTCTCCTGAAGCTCTCCTTATTTCCTTTTCAATACTCAACCCCTCTGGCTCTACCCAAGATGAGTGTTCATCCCCTCTCATCAGCACGGATCTGGAGGACCATCTAGTGAGCTAATCAAGGTCATCAGAAATCTGCGGTGCTTACAGTGTCGACAGGCTCTTGCCATAAAGCTCAAGCAGGAATTCTTTCGACCTCCGTCCTATTGCTCTTCTCTTTTCTTCTTTTTCTAGTTCCTTTTCTTTCTCTCACATCCGCAAACGCTATTAGCGTAATGGTTGCCAATTTGGCTTCTTTCTCTTTGCGGCAAAGATTATAAAATATCACATATCAGGTATCGTTTACGATAGCGGCCAACGTGTTTAACGTGCGATTTCATGGCTCATGACGCAATTTCACGGGCATATGGCTTTGCGAATCGTTGCTTCTGTCCTGGATTGGTAATATGTTTAGGGACGTCTAGAGAAGTCGTCTCAGAAACCTTTAGAGTGAAGAAGGATCATGAAGAAAAGAAATGCACAAGTTACATGCCCAAAGGATCACTTAGGGAGCCAAAGAAAAAGGCTGTTCAATAAAGAAGGAGCCAAGCTATGGATCTGTAAGGCCTCGAGGTTTTCCCGACCTAATCTTCCTTATTAATAGTAGATTCGTAAAGAAGTGTACAAAATGGTCTGTAGGGGTCAGTATCTGTCGTTCCCACCAGGGGGACAGTACTTGATGACCTGGAAAAGAGATTAACTTTAATGTAGGAGAAGAGGATGATCAGTGAGCAGCGAAAAAATATGGTGAGAAGTTTCTCATGGAATCAGGCCCTCTTTTAAGTGAACCACCAACTAAATAACAGATTTTCTAGAAATGTCTCACAATCAGATAGATCTTTTCCATGAACCCATTTTCGAACCCTTAGAGCATTTCGAAAGAAAGCAATGTTTGCAACCCGAGTTCTGCCGTTGCGGTTGGTGCTCTGAGCTGGAGCTTGTTTAGAGTTCAGTTCGAAGCAACATCTCATCGGGAGTAGCTGAAATTTGCTTGCAGATATAACTTGAGTGTGAACAGAAAAGAGAGCCACAGCTCGATGTTAAGACGATCCCCTTCCTGCAGATATTGTACCACGATATCACCTACTTTCATATGTCAAGTTTCCGTACTCCTTTGCAGTTTACGACAATCCACACTCTACCGCGCCTACATGCTTAGCCATGGGCCATCAATAAACCGATCCTTTTGTTTGGGAGAGTTCTTTCGGTAGGTGGGTGATCTCCTAAACACCCTCATCCTTTGTTGCCCTACCTCTGGCTCATCTTAGCCGTACAGACGCTGCAAGGCCTCGTCTCCATTGACCATTACAATTGTCCATTGTGCGTAGCTATTATATTTTACCTATACTACCTTTATATCCACATACCACTAATGCTACCCA